TGTGTGTGTGTGTGTGTGTGTGTGTGTGTGTGTGTGTGTGTGTGTGTGTTCACAGACACACAGAGAATAGTCTATACATATTAAAGTATTCTGCACATATTAAAGTATATAAACATAATTAGATGATAAGCCTTCTTAGACCTTAGACTCTTCAGATTTTCTGTGCTTAGTCCAAACACACTAACACATTAAACACACAAAGGAATTTTTAATAATATTACACATTACTATCTTTCTTCTCCCTTCATTCCTTTTAATTTTTATTCTAAGTAAAAAAAATGACACTTAGTAATTTGAGCATTTTATCCTCATTAATTCAAGCTAAAGCCATGAAGTTACAAATTAAACAAGCAGATTTTAGAGTGGCACATATTACTTACTTGGATTTACCCATTATCTACCTGTTTTGAGTCTGATAACTTGTGTTATCCATAAGATAAGCATATGTATTTCTCCCTAAATATGATATTCCAAAGCTTTTTTCCTGCAGAGTTTCACAGAACAATAAATCAGTATCTAATAGGATAATAAATTTACATTGTACTGAGTATCTAACACATTCACCAATTTATTATATAGGTCACTTTTTTTTGGTTATTATAGGTAGTCCCTATCACTATTATGGACAAATAGTATTAATAACTAGAAAAATAATATCTGTTGTAACTATATGTCAATCTTAGTGTGATCGTCTAATTGAGGCACTGGAATATCATTGCTAGGACGGGGTCGATAAAGTAGTACACTCTGAAAACAGACCCAAAATAGCCTGGCTGAAGTACAGAAGGAATCTATTACCATGATTAATAAGCAAGTCTGACAGCATTGCTTACTCCTCATTTGCATTCATATAAAACTAAATTCATGTAAAACCAAGTTAATGACAACAAAAATATTAAATAATATGAGGCTTAGAACATGAATGTCAAAAGTCAACAAATTCTTGTGAAATCATATGTCTTGATTGGATGGAATGGTGGAGGGATCCATTTAGAAATGAAATGCCCTATTTGAAAATGCTCAATAAGGAAACCACAAAAATGAGCCAGAATTTCCATCAACAAATAAGTAAATAAAGGCAGCATGTGCTTCTTTCCTGCAGAAGAGTTTATTGCAAATTGAACCAGAATATTCTATACATATCGAAGGAGGGAATGTCCACAAGCATGACTAGATGATAAGCCCTCTTACAACCTTGGACTCTTCAAATTTACATGGCTTAGTCCACAGATTCAATTTTTGATTAGTTTAACTAATCTTCTTATGGTTTCATCCTTTCAATAGAAGGTGGAGAATCCATATCCTCCATAGGAAAGGGGGTGACTGTAGCCATATCCATAGCTTCCATAGCCAGAACCATATCCATAGCCTCCATAGCCAGAGCCATATCCACAGCCACCAATGCCACAGCCATAGCCCAGTCGGCGGAAACTTCCACATCCACAGCCATAGCCATAGCCTAGGCCCCTAAAGCCTCTATAGCCATAGCCCAGGCCTCCATAGTAGCTGTTGTAGTAGCTCATGGTGCCAGAGGGGGAGAGATTGGTGTGCTGTTTAAGGCAAGATCTGGAGCACAACTGTCTTTTGTGGGCAAGCTTATATACCCTAAGAGAACATGTGATAGGTGATATTCATTCCCTCTTTTTGCATCATTTTTCTTTAATTAAAGTTATTTGAAACTATTCCTTATTGTTACCTGGCAAGAAGACTCTCTTTTACATTCATTAAACTATTGAATGTGCTTAGCTGCCAAATTAGTATAGCCCTTAAAATTCCTCTCATCACTTAATGAGATGGAGTTGCTGCATCTTCAAAGTCTGGAATTACCAACTCCCTAGTAGAACCCCTCATGGCTGGCATGGTAGAATGATCGCATTTAACAATGTCTTGTTCTCAATTAAATCTATTCATGTCTGGTTTTCCTTAAGATGCCTAACTTACAAATTAAATCAAAGGACTGCTCTCAATTTGAGGCTCTTCATTCTCTTATCCTCTAAAGTATTTTATTCCCTAGACTCAAGTAATTTAAATATCTGTTTCGGGGAACCAGAAAGAAGATACATGAAAGTCAGAGGCATCAATTCTACTGTGTTTGAACACTAACGAATTCTAGATACCCAAGGAAGGTTTAGTGGGTTTTTTTGTTGTTGTTGTGGTGGTGGTGGTGGTGATTGTTTTGTTTTATGCCAGTATTAGGATATTGATCACCACAATTACTATTTGTTTTACACTCTGTTCCATTTGGCTTTTACATTAGTGAACTAAGGTTGATATTATATTTAAAGTGTATACTTGGTTTATTAGGTCCACTTTTATGATGATATAGCTCTCTATGCTTTGACAATGGTGTGAGGAAAAAAAAAAAACGATTTAAAACTGAAGTTAAAAGCCAGTATAAAATATTTGTTTCAAAAGTGGCTTTAAAACTCATGAGCAGTTATCTCAGATTCTGACACTCTTTTCTGCACATCTCTGTGTAACGTGTTGCTAAAAGGGCATCCTATTGTCTACTTTTGACCTTACATCTAAAGCCGTTCCTTAACACATATATCTGATATTTCATTTGACTCTTTTCCTTTTTAATTGACTGTGTTTGGGGCAGTATTACATTTCAGAAAAAAATGGGCCTAAGCATGATCTCCCTATAACCCCCCCCCCCCATGCACAACAGTGTTCCTCTGTAAATGTATTCCAGTAACGTCGTACATTTATCACAGAGGGTGGAGCAACTGCGATAGCCTGCCACTACCCAAACCTCACAGTTCAACCAGAGTTCGTGTTTATGATTTGCACTTCCATGGGCTTTCAAAACTTTATGGAGTTATGGAAACATGAACTCAATATCATATAAAAATAATCTTACTGAGCTAAAAGTAATCTCTTTTTCATACACTCTTCCCTAAGCACACCTCCCAGTCTCTTGGAAAATATTGGGTTTTTATTGCTTCTAATTGTTTGTGGTTCTTTATTTTTGTCAGAGTACCATGCTGTCAGAGTCACAGGGTTTCATACTTTGTACAAATACTTTTTAAAAGTCTTCTATTTTTTTTCCTGATAATTCATTTCTGTTTCATCTCTGGATATGATTCTGTCTCACAAATATAACAGTTTGTTATAAAAAGACATGCTTAATGTTATACAAATTTGTTAACTATGAAAACAACTTCAGTAAATAATTTTCTCATATTTTTACATGCACATACCGTTTTAGCTCACCTGGGTAAACACCAACGAGAAAAACTGCTGAATTGCCTGTGAAGACTATGTTTAGCTTAGCAGGAAACTGCCGAATAGTCTCCCTCCCATGCTGAACCCATTTTCATTCTGGGTGTAGATGCTCCACACCCAGGTCAGCATTTGTTGCTGTCAGTGTTTGGAACTTAACCTCTCCCGATAGGTCTGTTAACATCATTTTCAGAATATCCCCCCTCTGTGTGTTCCCACATGTCAGTATGTCATGATGAAACATGTAAAATGAAATTTTGGGAATTTTTATTAAATTCTGCTTTTATTAAACATAGCTAATGCTTTTCTCTCAATTCTTGCATGTCCATTTACAGGGCACTGTAAAGTTCCATGTACTCTTTGCTTTTTCTGTGCCTTTTATCTATTTTGTTAGAGGGACGCTTTCAATAAGTATTAAGTAGATTCTAGTCCCTGCAGTAGGCATTGTGCATCTCACTGGCTTGTATAATTTGCTGAATGCATATAAATATTCAGGATTTTTAAAAGAAAGTTCAAATGACTTCCGACTTCAAAGCAGCATTAAACCAGCAATTTATTTCATCTCTATTTGCTCTTAAGTGTGATGTATGAGGTGATGAATCAAATAATAAACATTTAAAAATGAAATTTGATGAGTTGTTTATTCTTTTCTCCCTCATGACTTCTGACTCGGTCATTGAACTGCATTCAACTGTGATCCAAAAATAGCAATAGAGAAATTTCAGAATTGTCGTTAAGTTTCAAATTGATCACCATTATTGATAACATGAGCTATGACTCCTTTCATTGTTTTCATTCCAGCTTATCTCCTTTCAGATTGTGTAAGCTAGACACCTAATTAGCTTCTTATGCATCTCAGTCAGCCGAACAATAGCTATGGAATCTCACAGTTCCTATTTGCATAATCCTTGCCTGTCCAATGCCATGTCACAATGCCAACCTCATCTGTCTGACTTTATTGCATGGGCAGTCACTGCGCTATCTGATGTCCTCAAAATAAGGATGATTACAGTAATGCATTTTAAATCAGAAGGACTACCTGCATGTGAAATTTAAAAATAAATATTTCATGATTATAATTATTAATCCCTCTTTTGTAATATGTGAATATAATTTTCCAATGCAGATATATGACTAAGAAAATGATATTTAGAAAGTTTTGCATGTAAAGTTTCCCTTAATGCTTTTCTGTGGTACTATGCATTGCTGGATGAAGTGATGAAGTCTCTTTTGTCTCTTTGATGATGATTACACTAGGCTCCAGTCTGAGCACACTCTGCAGGCAGGATAAACTGTAAGTTCAATGTTTTGTAGCTGGTTTGGTGTCCTAATCCCTCTACTTGAGGGCTTGTCTTATTACAGAAGATGGCTAGTTCAGGCTCTTTGTCCCTCATTACTATGAGTCTTTGCTAGCGTTACTTTTATAAATTCTATGGCGTTTCTATTGTACTAGTTTTTACATCACTCCTGAAATGTTCCCTGATTCCAGTCATTTCTCTAGGTATTTCCTCCCTCCCTCCCCTCACCTGACCCCTGTCACTCCCAAACATACCCACTCCCAACCCCAGTCCAGAAATCTATTCTATTTATCCTTCTCAAGTCTTTGTGCTCGCCCTGAGGCCTCCTTGTTATTTAGCCTCCCTGGGTCTGTGGAATGAAGCATCAGTGTCTTTTACCTACAGCTAATATCCTCAGATGAGTGAGTTCATAGTATGTGTGACTTTCTGAGTCTGGGTTTACTCATTCAGGACAGTCTTTTCTAGTTCCATTCATTTGCCTGCAAATTTAATGATGTCGTTGTTTTTAACAGTTGAGTAATGTCTGTTGGAATATCCTATTTTTGGAATTTCATGATCAAGTATTTTCTTCATTTTTGCTGAGTTTGCAATCTCCTATCATGGATTTATAAGAGATATTTACATGGAGATCTTGAAAAGATTTTCTGATAAAATTATTTATTAGCATTATATTGTTCACTTTAAAGTATGTTTATATAATGCATTGATTTCTTTTCATTTTGATACTACATTATTTTTTTGTAATTTATTCACTTTATTTTCCAATTGTAGCCCCCTCAGGTCACACCTTCTCTCCATCCCTCTTTCCCCATCCCTCTCTCCTACATTATTTATAGGAGGGAGAGAGACAGAGAGAGAGAGAGCACATGAGTAATCAGTGAGTAAAAATCAAAGGAAAACTTGCTGGAGTTAGGTTTTTTTATTTTCCAAGATGATGTATTTCTATAGTGCAATACAGTTACCCTGGGTACCTGTTTTGAACAAATGGCAGATACTGTACCTCAGTGCCTTTTCCCTGAACTCAATGATGGAGGTGATGGATGCAAGGTGGTGGGAGTAAGACTCTTGTCAGTGCCCTCTGTGACCGTACAGGCATGCGTAAAAAGCTGAGAACATTCAGCCTCCTCCATATGTGCCTCCCACGGAGCCTGTTTTTTCCTGTAGGGACTCTCCTTCCTGATAAGCAACTTATTTCTCCAGCTTGGCTGTGGGTTACTTTGGTCTGCTTCCCCCAAGTTGCATACTTCAGGGGAAACCTGCAGTGAACAACTGTGGGGCTGTGACCATGTGACCACAGCATGGCAAGCTTTAGTTTGTTGCCTGGTTTCAGTGGGCTGACATTAGCACCCCTTGGTTCTGAGACTCTTGGAGTATAACAGTTGAGGAATCCAGTCCACTGGAGAGATTTTTATCCCCAAATCATAGTAACGAGTGTGATTTTTTAAAATTTTTCTTTATTGTTATTATTTATTACAAGTTATTCACTTTGTATCTTGAAAGTAGCCCCCTCCCTCATCTCCTCCTGATCCCACCCTCCTTCCCTCTTCCCCCTCTATGTCCCTTCCCTAGTCAATTGATAGGGGAGGTTCTCCTCCTCTACTATCTGACCCTAGCCTATCAGGTCTCATTAGGACTGTCTGGATCCTCATTTTCTGTGGTGAATTTTCTAAGAGTGAAAATATTCACACCATGAAACCAAAAATGGCCAAGCTCACTGCCTTCCCTTTTCCTCAGACACTGCCATGTGTCTCCGGACCTTACCAAGTCTTTTCTTCCTTAGGGACTGATGATCCCATGATTCATTTCATCTAAGGCAAGTGAAATCTTTTCTCAGAGAAGAAATGTGTCCTACGGCCTACAGAATTAATGTGTCCTATGTTAGTTAATTCAATCTTAAGTCAATGCAATCTGACAAATGTTGGAATAAATTTCATAAAACGCTATTGTGCTAGGAGTAGAAAATGTTCTTTCGAAGTGCCCTGAGGACCTCCCAAACAATCTATTGCTATTGTCAGTGCTCTTGATTGCCCACCACAGTTTGATTCTAAAAGCCTATTACACACATTGATCACAGAACATGGAGACATCTAGTTGGCTCTGACCAGGAAATTTTCTGCATGCTGGCTAGATCTCATAGTACTGAAAGGTTCTATACAGGCCACTGGGAGAGAGAATCAGTAACAGTCTTACCCATTTATGAATGCTGTGAACTGTAATAATCACTGGTGTGGCAAATTATACTCATGGGTGCTGTAAGGGACACGAATGTTACAGGGGTAGGCAACAACCTTATGATAGGATTAAAACCGATTCCACAGCAGGAAACACAAACTTGGTACTGTAAATCTGGAGAACAATTCATGGTTGGAAACTTCACACGTCCTAAGGAAGAACCTACTATTTACTGCTAAGTGAACTCATCAAACTTCCATCTAAATTTGTATTTCTGTAATGTAAATAGATTAGTGCAACTTTCACACCTCAGCAGAGATGCTTCTTTGTTCAGCGGATTGTGGTCAGTGTAGGAATTGACAACTGGTCAAGGTGCAGAAAAATTATCAGTGGAAGGGCTCACCCAGAAACATGACATTCATACCACAATCCCCACTACAAGTCTCAGGTGAAAAGTGGGTGTGAATATTGTAAGAGCAAGTGGTCAGGGAGAATTAGAGAGAAACAGCATGCTTTAAACATGACAAGACCCTCAAATTCATGACTTGCCAATATCTGTTATTACCTCCAGGAGATCATGCTAGTTAGCATTCTATAATGAAGTTGAAGAAGATCATGAGGTAGAAGGAGATCATGAACCTAGCGTTCTTACTGAGGAGCTATGTAAGCATAGTTGATCGTTTCTCAGGAAGAGGGACTTATTACTCTTTAATGATGTGATTCTTGGTGAGCTGTACTGGCCCCATTCCCAAATAAGTGGACAACACAAATATTGCTGTGTAGGAGTTATTTAAAAAAAAAAAAAAAGAAGACACAAAGTTGGGGATTATGGAGATGAGATGATTCTAGGGGGCTTTAGCAGAACTATTTGAAATCAATATGCATTATAAGAAAATATCAAAGAATGAATACAAATATCACGTTAACATTTCTTTGAACTTAGTTCCATGGTTTCTTAGTGAGCTTATGTTTATGCATAATCATCACATTATACAGTGGGTTAGTATGCACAGTGTTGCACTTTCTTCACAGACAACTGGGTTCAACTACACCATGTTGCTATGATATTTGTTTATCATATGAATTATTTAGTGTGTGTGTGTGTGTGTGTGTGTGTGTGTGTGTGTGTGTGTGTGTGTTTGGTATGGGATATTTGCTCATATGCACATGTGAAGAGAACAAAAGAAGACTTTGATAACTATATTCTCTGCCTTATTCTCTTGAAATGAGGTTTCACACAAAACCAGAAGCTTGTCCTGCCTTCTTTTGTTTGGTTTGGTTTGTGTTGGTTTGTTTTGGTTTGGTTTGGTTTGGTTTGGCTTCATTTGGCTAGGTAGGCTGGCCAGTAAGCTCTAGAGCAGTCGTTTTCAGCCTTCCTAATGTTGTGACCCTTTAGTATAATTCCTCACATTGTGGTGACCCGCAACCATAAAATTATATTTGATTCTACTTCATAACTATAGTCTTGCTATTTTTATGAAACATAATGTGAATATCTGTGTTCTCCGGTGGCCTTAGGCAACCCCATGAAATCATCATTTGATCCCCTTCAAAGGGTTCACGATCCATGGGCTGAGAATCTGTGCTCTAGAGCCTCTCTTCAACCTATCCCTCACCCCCATCACTGTGACTGCAGATGTGCCCTGTTGTACCAGGCTTTTATGCCTGTCCTAGCGATTTCAAGTCAGATCTCAACAATTGCACACTGAACTCTCTCATCCACCTCATCCAAGAGACATCTCTCTGTCCTCCCTCATTTTATATTTCACAAGTGCTTTCCTAGCTAGGCTGATGCTAGTGTAAACACTGAGCAAAATCTGCTAACTATGTTACCAAGTATATTTTAAAAATGCATTAATATAGGAGCCACAAACACAGTAATAAGTTAGGATAATTTATTGCAATAGATCAAAAAGAGTCTACATTTAAGGAATGAGAGAAGAGAAATAAAAGAGCGTAAGATGAAGGAATTATATGATAGTAAACATTCTCAAAGTCTTAGATGTTAAATCATATTCTTCTTGAGCTGGTTCACAGTATGTTTGTTTAACTTAGTCCTCATATGAGTTTCAGGAAATGTTTTTATCTTCAAGATGTTGGCTCTTTGGGAAAGCATTTCAGTAGAAACGGGAGAATCCATACCCTCTATAGTAAAATGGGTGGCGATAATCATAGCCATATCCTCCATAGTGAGAACCATATCCATAGCCTCCAAAGCCACAGCCACAGCCATAACCCAGGTTCCCAAAACCTCGGTAGCCATAACCCCGGCCTCCATAGTGGCTGCTGTAGTAGCTCATGGTGTCAAGAGTGGTAGATTTAGTTTGTTGTTCAAGGAAAGATCTTGAGCGTAAGTGTTAGCATGTGCAGAGGAGGTTTTTATACTCTAGTTGGAGCAGGTGACACTTCAGGCACATACCCTTCCTTTGTGTCACTGTCGATGATACTAGCAATGTAGCAACTCATTTCTCTGCTGACTCCTGACACACAGAGGCCCTCATTCCTATTAAAATGCTTGAGATTGCATAATTCTATTTAGAATGCCTTGAACTTATTGTTTTGCTTTTATGGGAAGAAACTGTTGAATAGCCAATATACACATACTCCAAACACTTAATAAAATGCCTCATTACAACATCTCCATGTGGTAGGGATATTTTGATATATAATTAGGCTTTTTTTTCCCCTGCTCTGTCACCTCTCAAATTGATAACTTCATCTCCAGGTATATCCATGGCTATTTGTTCAGCACACAGATCTATACTTATCACACAGCAAACCTATTTATCAAGACAAACACTTTTTAAAATGCCTTGATTTATGCTTTATAATTCTAATTCACAAAGACTCCATCATCTGATCTGTACTTTAGATCTAGAATCACAGGAAGAAAAATGTGTCAATTTTGCGTTGTAAAGCACAATAACCTTCGTAATAGTTTTATTTCACACCAACATCAGACATTTTGACTGAGAAAAAAAAAAGTAATTTTAGAAACCGAGAGTGTGAAAATTTTCCTCTAAGAAAGCTTATCAAAGTCAGTCTATATTTTATTTCCAAATGTTCAAGTTTCAGGGTGTGCCTCCCTACATGTTTCACCTCCTCAACTGATTTCTTCATCTGTGCATGTGAGACTTCCCTTTTCAGTACTCCCTCAGCTTTCTCTCTTCTGCCTTGTCTCCCAGTGCCTGCAGGGAACATGGAGGTAAGAGGACAGTGGCGCCTTGCATTTTCCCCTTGGCTTCCTTTCAGTCGCTTATGCCAGTGCGATTGTCTGTCTCTGCTTCAGTTTGCCCTGATTTGTCTCCTTTTGTCTGTGTAGTTCATGGTCTGCCCATCTCAAATAACTTTGGCTTGCTCCCTAACTTTAGTGCTACTAATTTAGCAACATACTATTTTCAAACTCATATGCCAGATCCTAGGCATTCCATAGACATTTTAAATTTAGGCTGCTTCAGAACTTATGAAATGAAAGTAATATGGGTCCCTTAGACTCTCAGCTCAGCACACCAAGCAGCCAATTAGTGTTGACAATTTCCTTCTCTGTTGTTAATCTCAGGGAGCTCTGTTCTTTAATCTTGGTTTTGAAAAGCACATTTTGTTTCTATGAGTTCTCGCATTTTTCTTGTTCTTGTTTTGTGTTTTGTTTTAGATTTCATTTGTTTTTTTCTAGACTTTAGTTCAGTGATACAGTATGAATCTTCATGAAGCTGCTTGATATACATTTCCTTACAATGTTTAGGATGGTATAGGTATGAACTAGAAGTCATATGGCCAAATTAATTAATTTTGAGACTATTTATAACTAGAAATCAAGGGTTATAAAACTGAAAAATAATTGCTATGATATAGAGTTCATATCAATATAATTTGTATGAAGACTTTAGCAAGTATTGCATCATATTAAATGGCCGTGACTACCTTTGCTGGTGATTAATAGGTTTTCAGGAACTGGAAGTCAGTAAATGAGCCACTGGGAAAGACCAGCTGTAGATTTCTGTCTCTTGAACTTTAGCTATGATATTTATTTTTCATTGACTTAATAAGAATAAATTGTATTCTCATAAGAAAAACAACTGCCTTCATCCAAAATGCTATAATAGGGATGAACAATAAGATATATGACTAAAGTTAGGACCACATTGCAATGCCACATTAAACACGTTTAATGGAAAATGATTATAGATCTATTTCCCAATATAAAATATACAGCAGAAATTTCAGATGAAAAATTACTATCTTGAGAGTGAAAGGAGAAATAACTGTTGTGGTAACATATCCAATATTTATGGAATAACTCTAAATTACTATTGCACAGCTGTATGTACCCCGACAGCTCTTAAATCTTATGCCAACAAGCTTGTAAAGTGCATAATTCATCTTCTCTGCTCCTATAAGAGGGAGATGGATTAGATAAAATGAGACCTCAGAGACCCTAGTGTTTTATTTATTTATTTTTCTAATGGATCATTCGCTCAACAGTCTTAGGTCCTGACTTCATACCAGAGACCCAGGGTCCAGTACGTTCCAATAGAAAATTAAGGGAAATAGCAGTTTCCAAAAGCACCAACCTAATGTCATTTCTAGGTCTGAAGAAAGTGCCACATGGCAGACATACTCATACCATGGGTCACCTACTTCCCAAAGTCACATCGGCAGGTCTCCAGAATTGATGTTAGAATAACTCAGTGTACAAAAATGAAGTTTGAAACTGAAAACCATTTTGACATCTTCAGTGATAATGTGGTTAGTCTTTGATACTCTATGTAGAATATATATAATAATATTCTTGAAAATATCAGTAATATATTCTAACAGTCATAGCAGGGAGTCAACTTTTGTTAAATATCCTCCTAAATCTGCTGATATACTAAAACAGAATTCTCTTAATACAGCAATTTTCCCTTTGCTACATTTCACACCAAAGATGGAAAAAGTATAGAACACCTTTGGAAGCAAGAATCAATATTGTTGTTACTTCTGTACAAAGACAGGAACATATTGGTAATGTTATTCGGGATCTCAAGTACTATAAAATTAGCTAACATAACACAAATTCAAAGAGCTGTTAAGTCATTAGTAATTTGATGGATAAATCTTAGTTTCATGTAGAATTGAGAGTTTCAGTGTGCACTCTGATACTTCTAAGCCCATCAATAGCAGGGTTCTGAGAACCTGTTACAGAATGAAAGACTTCATTAGAAAACCAACAAATTCACATGAATCTGTGCCAAACTCAGGGTAGGCTCAGGGGAGCCTACCTCTAGCGAGGATAGGAGGGGAATTCAAGCAGTGACTCCTAGTGGCAGAGGCCATAGACACCTCTAGTTAGAGGATGCCCTCTAACCAGACTAGTCTTCTAGTAGAGGGAAGGGAACACCAACCAACCTGCAAAAAATTTTGACCCAAAATTTACCCAGCCTACAGATGTACAGAGATAAAGATAAAGCAGATAGAGGAGAGATTGACAGAATTTCCAACCAATGCCTGTCCCAAACAAAGACCCACCCTGTCAGAGAGTGCCAACCCCTGACACTGTGAATGATACTCTTCTAAGCTTGCAGACAGGAACCTGGAATTTCCTCTTAGAGAGCCTACCCAGCACTGTCTCAAAACAGAGGTTGAAATTCACAGCCAAACATTGGGTGGTGCATAGAGGATCTTGTGGAAAGTGAAAGGAAAGAGGAAATGACCTGGAGGTGACAGGAGTGCCACAAGAAGACCAAAAGAACCATCTAACCACAACTCAAAGGGGCTTGCTGAGACTGAAGCATCAACCAGGGACCCTGCATGAACTGGACCAAGGCCCCCTACAAAGATATAGCAGATGGACAGCATAGGCTTCAAGTGGGTCCTCTAGTAAGGGAAATGATGACTGTGTCAGACAGGGACTCACTTGCTAACTTTTTGATCACTTCCCTCTGATGGGACTGACTTGCCAGGCCAAGGGGGAAGAGGACATGTTCAGTTCTGATGCAACTTGATGAGCTGGGATAGATGGGAAAGGAAGCTTCCCTATTCTGAGGAATAGGCAAGGGGAGGAGAGAAAGGGACTGGGGAGGAGGAGGGATGGGCTTACCACCAAGATGTATAGTGAATAAAATAGAAAAAAGGAAAAAAGAAAAGAAAACCACACAGAGTCAGAGCTGAGTGATGTCTTTTTCCAGGAGTCAGAAATACATGAGTTTCTCTCAGAAATCATTTCCAAGTTTTTCACAAGCAAAGTCACAGCGCACTTGTTGAAAACATGAGCCAATGTCAAGTCTTGTTTGGATTGGGGACAGGGGGCGTTCTGGAAACACAGTCAGAACTGAAGGAGTACCCTGTGGGCTTAGCTGAGGCTCCTGTCCTCTTATAATCAGAGTTTGTAAGTTTGGGCAAAGGTTGTGCAAATTTCCTAAACATTGACTGGTATCTGGCAAGAGTCTTCTAGTCTCGCTCAGTGTGCAAGAACCAAGTCATTCTGACACACTTGAGGTTCATTCAAATCTGAGACTTTTTAAAAATAAAGTAGAACAAAAAATCTGTTTAAACTATTCTCTTAATTAGATGAGATCTAATTAAGGAGGCTTACATTTTTAATTTGATTTGCCTGCTGAGCTTGCTTTCCATGAAAACTATTCTTTCCATAACGAGGAGCGTTGATGACTGTAAATTCAGGTGTGACTTAGCCTCCCAGCTCTGGACCAGGCAGAGCATCAGCCTCCCTCTCATTGCATCATCTCGGGTGTGTCTCAGCTCAGTCCTTTCCTTGTTGTTTCTCTTTCAATGAATGGAATTATTCTCTCTTCTTTAATGTTGTATGTGTTAACATTTTAGTCCTTAAGGAACCACAGTGGCGACATAGGTGCCTATAGATTCTTCCTATAAGCTGGTGATCTCAAACCAAGAAAACATCCTAACATGGCATGTTGCCCTTCTATTCGTGTCATGTTGGGAGGCTGGTGAGCAACTTCCCTGCACTTCCAGTCCTATAAAACCATAGCCACACGATTATGTGCGACATGAAAGGCCGGATAATGAGAAAATGACTACCTCATAGATTTATTGATTTACTGTTCTATAATTGTGTCTTCAGTTTAGAAAGCATTCCAACGTGTCCAAAATGTCTATAGTAAAACACTGTGCCATGTGATATCAGCAGCAGCTGCATGAAGCTTCTGCCTCTTTGGTTGCATCATTCTTATACTCTAGCGCTTTTTTCTAACTTTGTGTTATTTTGTTTATTATGGCCTCTGAGCATATGGAATACCTGCCTGTGTTATCAGTAGGTGACCGTAATTTGACTGGCTGTGAAACA